ATTTCCTCTATCCAACATTTGAGAATTATTTTGGGGAGAAGTCTTACATAGTATGAGTTCTCTCCCCCTCTCCAGTGATGAGGTGAACATTACATTCAATTTTTAGCTACTGACAGAAGTTTATTTCTACTTTTGTGCTGCATTCTGGTAATGTCTTGATACTGTTGGATGGAAGATGTGCAAACTTGAGTGTATATCTGCCAGCATTTAAGATGTGTAGTTTTTCTTTAAATTATTGAAAGTAGTGCTGTAACAAATACACAAAAGTGTACTGTATATTGAAATGGAGACATAAGCAAATCCAAATCACATATTTACAGGTAACTGCCCTAAAATTTATTTTGAAAGGAAAATCATAGTTACCATACATCTTCCACTGGTGCTTGTGTAGTGTCTTCAAGTCAATCTTCACTTCTGTCAACCGCCTGGGCAAGTTTTCTCAGCAACATAGCCACCTATAGTCACAAAGTGAGATCGTACGTGCTTGTGGTGTGTGTGTGTGTGTGTGTGTGTGTGTGTGTGTGTGATCTATATGATACACATCTAATACACATAGACATAATATATATGGAATGAATACATAAATAGACAAATATTTTCAAAGTAGTCTCTGTTGCTTCATTTTTAAGATGGAAAGAAAGGAACTAGAGCTTAGATTTTGTTCCTAGTACAAAGCCGTAACCATTCAACCAAATAGGTTCTCCATTTATACAGAAAAATAATTTGCATTTGGCAGGCTACATACCTAAACAATGGATCTTGTTTGGAACATAATGTGCATAGAAATATGAAAGGGTACTTCAACAAGGTGAAGAATATAGCTATTTGTAACTGACTTAAACAACTCTACTCTTGAGAAAGTAATAGAAATGGATATAAAATATTATTGCGTCATGTTTTAATATAACTCAAGGCTTCAAACCTTTGCACAATTACTAAGAAGCCAATACCACTGTTTCCAAAGGACTAAATTCCATAAACAGGGCACAAATAATATTGTCTCAGATCTCTGGTCAATGTACATTTGCTTCTTTTAAGCTTTAACTTTGCAGTGCAGTACATAAGTAAATAAATGGACTGCATTGATTAATAATATACAGAATTCTGCTAAAATTGATTTTGAAAACAAAATTGATAGAAATGCTCGTATGTTTTTACTATTTCAGATTTTCTCAAAATGTTCTAGAAGCCATGATTTTCTTGTAAGGAGTAATTTGTCTGTCACCTTTACAAATGTGTAATGACCCAGATTTTTTTTCTCCAAAAGGGAAATTGCTCTTGTTTAACTGGAAGCATTCAAATGTTTTTTCAACAGTCTGAAAATATAATTTGTGTTTAGAAACTTCCCAGAGCTCAGAAATACTGTATGTAAACAAAATAATCATTTTGTTGCATTAGTAAATAGCATTCTGGTGGCCTTTTCTATATAATTAACTAAGAACTATGAGTAAGTCAAATAGAATGTAAAAAATTATATATGGCTGATTGAGAGCTGCTCACATATACCTATTAATCCATGACTGAAGAGTAAAATAATGATTTACATCAGTGGTGGGTTTCAAAAATTTTTGGAACCTCTTCTGTAGGTCTGCTTTCCAGGTCCACTGGTGGAACCTCTTCTAACCGGTTCGGTAGATTTGATGAACTGGTTCTACCGAATAGGTGCGAACTGGTAGGAACCCACCTCTGATTTACATGTATGAGTTGTTAATCATAGATCAAATATTTCTATACTGAAACCTTGACTTTTTTCCAGACCTCAGTTTGCAAGATTTGTGCGCGCACACACACACACACACACACACACACACACACACACACACACACACACACACAGTGTATTTGTGTATATGTATGTGTGTATCAGGGGTGGGTTTCTCGCCCCGTTCCAACCGGTTCGGTTGGAATGGGGCCGGCGGCGTCCTCGTGCATGTGTGCGGCGCGCGCGTGCACACGCGTGGTGCACACATGCGTACTAGCATCTGTGCGAAGCTCCAGCTGCTCCTGGAGGATC